TAAAAGGATATATCTAAAAAAGTAGGTCAGTTAAAATTGAACTCTAAGGATGATTTTAGCTCTCCCCCCAAAAAAAAGGCAACAAAGAAGAGGAAAAAGGGGGAGGAGGGACAAAGTAAACAGAATGGTAGCCCTAAAATCTAACCATATTAATAAGAGGCAGAAATCATCAAATGGATAAGAAAAACAAGACCTAACCACATGTACTATGAGAATGTATTTCAAATATAGAGACAGATAAATGCAAAGTAAGTGGCTGGGGAAAAATTCCAAGTGACCAGTAAACACAAGCAGCCCGGAGTTGCTCAGTGAGCATTAGACGACAGTATTACCAGAGGTAGACGGTAGTCATGATAAAAAGGTCAATTCAGAAGACAAATGAACATGTTCCTAGTAACAAAGCTTCAATATAGACAAAGCCAAAGTTGACAGATTTAGGCCAGGCACTGGCTCACGCCTGTAATCCTAGCACCCTGGGAGGCCGAGATGGGGAGATCGCTTGAGCTCAAGACTTTGAGACCAGCCTGAGCAAGATCAAGACCCCATCTCTACCAAAAACAGGAAAATTAGCTGGGCATCATGGCACACTCCTGTAGTCCCAGCTACTCAGGAGGCTGAAGCAGAAGGTTCACTTGAGCCCAGGACTGTGAGGTTGCAGTCAGCCGTGATAACTCCCACTGCACTGTAGCTGGGGCAACAGAGCAAAACTCTCTCAAAAAACAAAAACACACACAAAAAAAACATTTAAAGGAAAACAAACCCACAAACATAGGAGATTCTAACCCCCTCCGGCTCAGCAATTGAGGCAAATTCAATGAAGATGAAGAAAACATGAGCACTACTAGCCACCTTGGTCTGACGATTAGGGACAACTCCAGACAGCTGGAGAACACACAGCCTCCGCAGGTGCACACCGCACCAGGGACACGGGCTGGGCACAGGTCTCAATGCATTAGAAGGACTGAGAGCACTGGCCGTGCTCTGCAACCACAGTGGGATTAAGTTAGAAATCAGTAACACGATACGGAAAAACAACTTGTAAATTAAACACTCAGAACTGTGGTTTAAAGATTATATCAGAAAGGAAATTAGACAATATTTTGAACTGGATAATGAAAATGTGACATCAAAATTGTGGGGTGTAGCTCAGTCCGTGATTAGAGAGAAACTTCACAACCTTACATGCCTTTGTTAGAAGGATATAAAAAGTCAATGGCTTGGCATTCGAAATCCATCTGTGTGGTTTAAAAAAAGCAAAGAATATAAATTAAAATGAAAAAAAAAAAGTCAATGGCCTAAGGTGCCACCTTAAGAAGAAACAAGAGCAGAGCCCAAAGTAGGAAAAAGAACATGAGCAGAAATCAATGAAATAGAATTTGCTCGAGGTAAGGACAGCCCAGACCTTGTCGAGGACAAGGGACTCAAGTGTGCAGGTTTGGGACTAGAGCACAGCAGAGCAAGGACCCAGGTCTGCCAGACCCTGAAACCCAAGGTCTGTAACACACGCTGTTCCATCCTCCGCTTTGTTCCATCGCGGTGCTCCAAGACCCGAGAGCAGCCCAAGTGCCTGCCGCCCCCGCCTGTGAGTTAACTCGGGCTGGCACTGCCCCCTACTGGCTAAAACTGAAGCGACACTTCTCTCGTCCTCCCCTCTGCCTTCCTCCCGTGCTTCCCCCTGAGGGACTCGCTCTTGCAGTCACTGAGTCCTTCCTCCGTGTCAGTGCTTCGCAAACTTTCGCGGGCATCAATCAGAACACCCGGAAGGGGCGCTGACACTCGGAGTGCTGCACCCGCCCCCGCCGTTTCTGGCTCCAGGGGCGCGTGGGGCCCGAGAACCTGCGTGGCTGACACGGTCCCCAGGGGCTGCTGCTGGGCTGAGGATCCCCCTCGGAGAACCCTGCTCATGAGTAAGTGCTCCGCTTCCCGGGACACTGAGACATTCGGCTCCCGCCTGGTGCAGGCCGCAGCGCAGCCTGGAGCCCCGAGCAGGTGACTGCAGGGGAGCAGTTCGCTCCCCGCAGAGGGGAGCGCGGGGTGCCCCGGGGAGCAGCCACGTCCGGGTGAGGCACAGGAGCCCTGAGACTACACTGAGGCACCAGGTGCCAGACTCTTATTGAGGTGGCCCAGCCTGCCGCCCTCAGCTCTGTCTGCTCGTACAGGTACAGGTTGGGCAGTGCCGTTGGTGGTCCTCTGTGCTGCCCCGGCGTCACCAGGCTCTCTCAAGCTGCTCCATAATACCACGGGGAGGGGAGGGAGCCCTGGCTGCCACACCTGCCTGGCCACTCATGACAGAGACCACGTCCACCTGGCCCTGCTACCTCAGGCTCCCAGCACCCTCGCGCCATGGGCAGCCCGTTCTGCGGCAGCAACTCCCACGTGACCCTGGCTGCTGAGGGAGCCACCTAGGGCGTCTAAGCCGCGCCGCCGCCCGCCACGCCGCTTACTGCTTCCGCAGACGGCGCGTCTTCCGGGACACGGCCATCCACGGGCGTCGTGCCTTACGTTGTACTTCTCCTCCACCATGGCCACCCGCGCCCTTCACCCCTCCTTCCACCACCTGACGGTGATCCGGGCATTTCCGCCTCACTGGGTGCGCTCCCGTGTTTTCTAGGCTTCTAGGAACCACCTGGCAGCGTGCGGGCACCTGGGCTCCTACGCAGGGTGTCAGAGGCCGTATCCCCAGAGGGGGCTCCCAAGTTCAAGTCCTCCCTGTCCCAGTTTTCTGTTCTGCCCCCTAGATCCACCCTCTCAGCACCCAGTCCCGGTCACACGCGCCTGGCCCTGCCAGCACTTGCCGGTTTGGGTCTGCAGCTTCCTTGGCATATGGTCCCTTTCCTCTTACCGGCCTGTGAGTGGGCCGCTTCTGTGCCCTCGGAGGGCTTGCAGGCTGTGGGGACTTGAGGTTTTGGGGCGCACCAGCCCAGATGTCTGAGTCTCGTGCACCAGGACCCTGCCTGCCACAGCAACCCTTCTAGGTTGAGTTACAGCTTCTTGGGAGCTTGGCTGCTTTTATGAGCAAGTCCTGGGCGTGGCCCTCAGCTTTCCCTACCTCTCAGCTGCGGGGGATGGAAGCCTCTTCCTGTGCTCCTAAGCAGGCTTTCACACTCGGCCTCTAATCGGCCTCGTGATCGCTCAGCTCTTTTCTTTTCTGAAGTCTTTCCATGTTTAGCAGCCACCACCAGTTTCGCCATTCTCATACTTACTCTGTCCCCTGATCTCTCTCCACCTCCCCACGTATGGAACCTGGTAGGGAGCTGTCTTCCGCCAGAGTCCCAGGGCAGCTGTCAGCGGAGCAGCCTCCAAGGTCTCACTGCTACCTTGTGCCCGGGGTATCTGCTGTCCCCCCAACCACCACTGGGGGGTGTCCTCACTGCCAATGCTACCTTGTGACCAGGCTATCTGCTGTCCCCCTCACCACTGGGGGGCCGTGCCTATTGCCAGTCTGCTACTCGTGACCGAGCTATTGTGCTGTCCCCCTCCCAACCACTGGGGGGCGTCCTCACTGCCAGTGCTACCTCGTGACCAGGCTATCTGCTGTCCCCCTCCCAACCACTGGGGGGCGTCCTCACTGCCAGCCAGGCACTCAGAGATCCCTCTGCACATCCCGCCTTAGCACCTGCATTCTGCAGCCCACTCCAGGTACCCGGTCACAGCTGAAGCTCCCCAGGAAGCAGATTCTCAGAGGAAGATGAGCTTGCAGGGAGTGCCCAGGATCAATACATTTGATAATAAAATAAATCACATTTGGCTCACCAGGGTATTTCTTTCGGACAGCGCTGGTTAGAAGAAAAAAAAGGCACAGCATGCAGTTTTCATGATGGCCACCAGATGGCAGCCCTATCCCGGGGTTGCGGTTTTCAGCCTCCCAGGGGAGACCCTAGGGAGGGGCGTCTCCCAGGGGCGAGGGACGTGGCAGAGATGGGTTTTATCAGCAAGTGAAAGGTTTGTGCTGGCTGCTCCGTTTTTATATTAATTATGCATCACTTTCATTTGTATGTAAACTGTTGTTGACATAATAATGAGATATATGTCCTTTGCTCTCTGTTTAAGAGCAGGGCTCCCCCACTGAGCTGGGAGTTTCCTTGGAAGACTGGGCTCCTAATATTTTTAAGTTTATTTCAAGTCCCACTCTTCTGCCCCACCCCTCTCTTTTTGCTTTTCTCCCTTTCACGTGTTCATTCTCCGCATCCAAGTTCAGCTCTTTTCATGTCCTTGGAAATTAAATTTTATATATAACTTTAATTTCAACATATTATGACCGCCTGTCATCTAATATTTGGAGCTATATCATCCATAGAGGAAAAAATATCTAATATTCCACGAGGCAGAGAAGAGTATTAGGAAAAACAGTGAAAGAGAAATGCAGAAGGGAGCCCCTCCCCATTCCTACCAAGATGCCAGCTTAGTGCGGCCTGCTGGCTGCCTCCCCCAAGACCAGCCTTGAGGGAACTCTCAAGATATGGAGACAACTGGGAGAAAGACCTGGGAGAGGCAGGGCGTGGTGGCTCACACCTGCAATCCTAGCACTCTGGGAGGCTGAGGAGGGTAGATTGCTTGAGGTCAGGAGTTCGAAACCAGCCTGAGCAAGAGCGAGACCCCACTTCTACTATAAGGTGTGTTCTGAGGCACTGGGTGGGGGGGTTCACGGAGGAGAAAGGTACCTGGCATGAGTGGCAGAGGAGAGGAGAAACCTTCATTGAAAGCTGCCTTGGTACCAAAGCCGACCTGCAGGGCTATGGACTGCATAGTGTGGCCAAGGACTACTGCCTTCCAGAAAGTTCTGTAGGTCAAGCTGGCTTCAGCAGGTAGGGGCTGAATTCTAAACCCAGGGTGGAGTCCTGAACAAGGATGAGATACAGTACCAAGCTTCCTGCAAAGGCAAGGCTGCCTGGGTAACTGCAGCCAACCAAGAAAGCAGTGTGGACCCCTTGGTGAGAGACAGGGACAGCTCCAGCCCGCAGCCCCGGGACAGAGAGAGACACATGCAGTGCAATTGGTGCTTTTGAACACATGCGTTTAATGAGTATTCTTGGGGTGGGGGCAGCAGGAGCCTGGGGCTCAGTTGGCGGCCAGGATCTCCTCAACCCAGGGCAGAAGCGCAGTGACGCGGGCGTACACGGCGGGCGAGGAGGTGGAGCAGGTGCCGCTGCCCCAGGACACGATGCCCACCAGGTTCCAGGCTCCATCCTTCTGGCAGACCAGGGGGCCGCCAGAGTCACCCTGCGGGAAGGAGAGAGGACGTGTCTCCAAGCCTGAAAGTGTGCCCTCCCCCTGGCAGTGTCCAGGGAGGGGTCAGAGAGGTGGCAAGTGTGGGCCAAGGCTCTGCCCGAGTCTCTCAGGTCTGGGTGCACGGGGCAGTCCCAGCTCCTCTGCTATTCACCCCTGTGGGCAGGGGCTTCCCTCTCTAAGCCTGGTCACCATCTGTCCCATGGGCCGACACATCCAGCTCAGACAGAGTCCACCCCCCTCCTGCCTGGGGCAGGGAGCCTGGGCATGGGCCTGTGGGCCTCGTCCCATCCTCCTTTGCTGGGCACCGGGAAGGAGTGCAGTTAGTAGGTGAGGGCAGGGGAGAGGGGAGCCCAGACCTCCAGGCTGGGAACCCTGTGGCCCCCTGGCCCGACCAGGGACTGGTGCGGTCGGCGAGGCGGGCCGGGCGGCCGAGCGAGCCTCACCATGCAGGAGGAGACGCCGCTGGCCCCGGCGCAGACCATCACGTCGGTGATCTTGCTGCCCCAGAACTTCTTGCAGTCGGCGTTGGACACGAGGGGCAGGGCGGCCTGCTGCAGCTTGTCGGGGGTCTTGTTGGCTGCAGGATGGGAGGGGGCGGCTCAGGGCCCTCGGCCCACCAGCCCACCAATGTGGGGATCCAGAGCTGGCCCCGCCTGCCCTCTCACCATCGCTGCGTGGTGGGAACATCCCCCACAGCCTGAAAGCATCTGGGACAGGGTCCCTTCAGAGGCCACAGCAGGTGGGGACTCTGCACCCCCGTCTGGAGAGCAGCCCGGCTGCCCGGGCACCGCCGCCCGCTGCAGGGGAGCAGGGCAGGGCTGCTCACCAGAAACCGCTATGCTCACGGACCTCAGTCGTTGGTAGTGTTTACTTCCCGGTCCGCCCGACGAATCTCCACTGTCATTGCCCAGGCTAGAGTGAGTGCGCATGAGCAAGCATCAGCCCTAGCCACACAACTTCAAACTCCTGGGCTCCAAGCGATCCCTCGGCCTCAGCCTCCCAAGTAGCTGAAGACTACAGGCAATGTGCCCCCAAAGACCAATGGCCCGGCTAATTTTTTCTCATGTAATTTTTAATTGACCAATTTAATTTCTTTTCCTATTTTGCAGCGTAAGACGTCTCGACAGTCTTCCTCAGGCCCTGATCCTCAAACTCCTGACCTCAAGCAACCCTCCCATCCTCGCCTCTCCAGTGCTACCGGTTCGGTACGTTTTTAAATCCAGAGAATTGTCAGTAAAGAAAGGACCGGACTGAGCGACTGTTGTTGGGATCAGCCCCAGAGCAAGGGCAGCCACGGGGTCACCCCGGACACGCCTGCCGCTCAGGCAGGCCCAAGCCAGGCGGCCCGGCCGGACAGCCGCCGAGCACACCCACGCGTTTGTACTTTGGTTTGCCCCAGCCCGTGAGGTGGGTGAGAAGCGACGGGGGGAATCGTCGTCGGCGCTGGCAGGCACACGGCGGACACGTGTCGGAGAACGGGCGGCTGCCAGCTCAGCCAGAGGTGATGTCGTTGCGCACGGTGAGCATGTTGAACTTGGGGTTCTTGAAGACCTGCCGTGAGGACCAGAACGCCCTGCTGAGCACCGGGGTGTCGGGGACCTGGGGCTTCCAGGAGACAGACTCCTTCCTGGAGGGAACGGCCTCGGAGCCAGAGGGGGCCCCCAGGCCGGCCCCAGCACCCGGGGGCTCCTGTCCCTCCTGCCCGCCCGGCCCCTGGGCTGAGCCGCCGCCCGGCGCACCTTGGCGATCTTCAGGACCTGGATGTTCTCCTCGTCAGAGCCCTGGTCAAACTCCCCGGCCACAACCTGGTCCGTGGTCCTAGACAGAGCGACGGGTGAGGCCTGGGAACAAGCCGCCCCCCGCCCCCCAACCGGACCTGGGTGCAGAGCCCAAGGCTGCCCGGCCCTCACTTGACCCCGCAGTGGGCGGCGGTGACCACCCAGTCCTCGCTGATGAGGGAGCCCCCGCAGAAGTGGAAGCCGGTCTTGTCCTGGGGAGAGGGATGGGAGGGTCGGCAGCTCCCCAGCCTGGCCCTGCCCCAGTGCCCCGCCCCCCCATGCCCGGAATCCCCCTCACCTGCAGGGACACCTGCCAGGGCCAGGAGCCGGGGACGGCGTCCTCCCCATTGACGATCCTGGACAGGCCAGTGAGCACGGGGCTGATGGCGGGGACCCCGCAGCCTGGGGGTGGGGGTGGGAGTCGAGTGAGGAGGGGCCGAGGTCGGCGTTGTAGAACTGCTGGTTTCTACATGTGGTCACCCAGGCCAGCTCGGGACACCACTGTGACACAGCCAACCTCTCTGGAGACTTTCTCTGGTCTCCCAACCTCTAGACTCACACACAAGGCCACATGCAGCCTGAGGACCCCAAACTCCCTTCCGAGGATGCAGAGGGATATGGCTGCCCCCATCTGGCCATGCCCTGGGACTGCAGGGCTCACCCTCCAGGCCCGCCCCTTCCTGGCTGTGTGACCTAGACAGGTCCTGGCGGGTGCTCACATTCCCAATGTCCCCAGCTGTCAAATTGGGAGCAGAACAACACTAACTCCACAGGTCATAGCTCTTCTGTGACACCTGGCAGGGGGAGGGGATATAGAATGAAAACCTGAAACCCCAAGTCCGTGGGGAATGTGGGACTCTGATGGTGCCATTTTACACTGCGGGTGCACCTTGAATTCCGCATTTTTGTGAAACTTCAAATTTCAGGGTCTATTCATGGTGTCAAATTTTGATTTCTTAATTTTTTAAATAAAATCAGACTTTTTTTTTGAGGCAGAGTCTCACTTTGTTGCCCCTGGCTAGAGTGCCGAGGCATCAGCCTAGCTCACAGCAACCTGAAACTCCTGGGCTGGAGCAATCCTCCTGCCTCAGCCTCCTGAGTAGCTGGAACTACAGGCATGCGCCACCATACCCAGCTCATTTTTTCTATATATATATTTTAGGTGACCAATTAATTTCTTTCTATTTTATAGTAGAAACGGGGTCTTGCTCTTGCTCAGGCTGGTTTTGAACTCCTGACCTTGAGTGATCCACCCACCTCAGCCTCCCACAGTGCTAGGATTACAGGCATGAGCCACCACGCCAGGCCCCAAGATCAGACTTTGATTCCGCATAATAAAAGGACACATCAGCTGGGCACAGTGGCTGACGCCTGTAATCCCAGCACTTTCTGAGGCTGAGATAGGAGGATCACTTGAGCCCAGGAGTTCGAGACCAGCCTGAACAACATAGTGATAACCTGCCTCTACAAAAAATTAGTGGACTGTGATCACATGCTTATAGTCCCAGCTACTCCGGAGGCTGAGGCAGGAGGATCACTTGAGCCTAGGAGTTGGAGGTTGCAGCGAGCTATGACAACGCCGCCACTGCACTCTAGCCCGGGCAACCAATAAAAAAATTGGTATTGTACTAGCAAAAGAATTAGAAACCAATGGTGGAGAAGTCACACAAGGAAGAGTGCATTACACTGATGCAAGTGAACGAGCCGATGTCCTGTCAGCACGGAGAGATCTAAGACAGCATGCGGGAGCGACACAGCGCAGACGGACACACTCTGTTAACGTAAACTTCCAAAACCCTGTACATGGTTCATGGATTTATAAATCTGCAGTACATTTGCATAAACCTGCACAGGAGTGACACACAGCAAGTTCAGAATGAGGTTTGCCTTCCAGAGAGGGAAGGGGAAGGTTTAGCTGAATCTATTTTATGTTTTAAAAAGAAATATCTGAAGCAAAACTGCACAAAAATGAGATTTGCTAAATTCCTATGGTAGATACGTGGATGTCATAATATTTTATATATATATAAATTTTATTTTATTATATATATACACACACACATATATTTTTTTTTTTTGCTATTTTTTTCTTTCTTTAAAATACAAAACAAAATGCTTAGCAAGTGCCTACACGATAAATAAGAACCCCAGGTGGACGCCATGGGAGGTCCCCTGTGGCCACACCTTACCCTGCCACAGCACCCCTCTCCTCCCTGCAGCCCCAGAACAGAGCTTCTTCCCGACCAGCGGCCACCGGCCCAGCACTCACCAAAGGCGGCCCCCACAAGGGCAAAGCAGGAGAGGAGCCAAAGAAACACCATTGTGCAACAGCCAGGGAGGTGTAGGGCCTGCAGCTGAGGGGCCCCTTTTATGTCCCCTGTGTCCCCAGGCCCCGCCCAGCCCCAAGGCCTGAGGGCCACCCTCCCTGCTATCCAGGGACCTTGGGTGATAAGTGGGGGCCAAGCCCTCTGCACAGTCCTCTGGCTCTTAGCCGGGGACACCTCAGCCCCTGGGAAAGGGGCAGCTGCCCTGTCCCCACATCACCCACCACCCGCCAGCTTTGGCAACGCCCGGCACCCCCAGGGCCTGGCAGAGCAAGGAGGCAGCTCAGCGCTCTTCTGTCCCTGGGCCAGAGGGAGGAACTGAAGGCAGCTCCAACCCAGGGTTCAGAGAACCTCAGCTGGTGGCCACTGGGGGACCTCCAGGACCACAGCCGTGGCCTGCAGGTTCTCACCAGTGTCTCAACCCAACTCACACTCACCTACCAGCACAGGTAGGCACGGTGCCCTGGGTTACCCAGAGCGTCACCTCGGCGACCACCAGTTCAGCCGAGCAGCCTCCGAGCGTAGTGAGGGTGCGGCTGAGTGAGGGCTGCCTGGTTAGTGGCCGTAACAGGTGGCCAAACGTGCTGACAGCCCAACCCAGTCTGCTCGATGGAATTATCTTTTTCTGTGATGATTCATGATTTAAGGAACCAGTCATGGTATAAAGTTTAGTTTCTTGTAAAATGGAGCTTTGATTCCACACCACAAAATGACACAAACTCTTTTCATTGTCACGGAACAATGAGAACAGACATGTGTGGGTGACAGGCCGATGACCACGGGCAGGAGGCAGAGACCAAGGGACCCTCAGTGCCCTGTGCATAAGCCCCATGCTCGGGGGACAGAGCCCAGGCACCCCTGCCTCGTGGGCCCTAGCGCTCGTGACATACATGGACGCCACATCAATGAGAATGGGACACGAGAACCCAGTTGCCAAGTAAGGCTGCAAGGGACGGTCCCAGGCACCTGCCTCACCCATGACATGGTTTCAAAGAAAGACTTGGGGAGCACGGAGTCTCCACCGGAGGCCTCGGGCTCTGTGGCCAGCAGGGCCACATCCCCCTGGCAGAGCTGGTCCGGGGAGCAGGACGGTGTCACTGGGCAGATTATAGCGATACTGTTGACGTGAGCCTGGTTCCTTTTCAAGTTCTGTGTGCCTGTATCAATTTAGTTTTGTTTTAGGGCTGTGTGTTCTCCAGCAGTGGGGAGCAGTGGCCGGGCCCCTCAGGGCAGGGTCCGGCAGGCCCGATCCCCAGCTGCAGGGAGGTGGGAGGGGGACATCAGGCAGGGCCGGGCCAGCCACACTTCGCAGGACACAGAGGGCTGGGCCAGCAGCGTTTCCCTAACTGGTACTGACGCTTGCTGACATTTCGTCTGCCTGTGTCGCCAGCCGGGCTGGCGGGGAGGTGCTCGTTGAGTGTCAGCCCTGGCTCTGGGCCTAAGGAATTCACATTAAGTTCTAGACCAGGCTGATGCATTGAGACATTAACATCTGCTGCGTTTTTCCATCACCCAGTCCAAGCAGGGAGTGAAGCCATTTGTGTTTTCCTTGCCTCAGATCTCTCCAAAGCAGGAACCGGTGAGGTCACCACTCTTCAGCCTGGAGTGACAGCGGGACTCATCGCAGACCAGAGTGTGGGAGCTCCTGGCCTGAACAGGGGAGCGGCCCCCCAGCCTGCAGAGAGCCGGGCCTGGGAGGCCGAGGGCCACCGGACAAGGCTTGTGTGCCTTTGCCCACGTGGTTTTCCCTTCTGGCCATTCCTTTAGGTCCCCAGCTCGTCCCTCCTGCAAACCCGGCCTGAGGCGCGCGCTCCCTGGGGCAGAGGGTAACTTTACAGAGAGCAGCGGCTACTACCGCTGGCCCACAGACGTCTCCCCGTCCTGGTGCACATGGAGGGGTCTCACAGAGGGCCACCCCCCATCCCAGGGACAGAACCCTGATTAACAGAAGCCTGGGGGGGACAGAGAGACAGGAGAGCCCCAGCCTCTCCCTCTCTGCACTTCAGCCCATTCTCAGGGGATGTGGTGCTTGCAGCCTTGAGACCCCGAGCAGAAAGACAGAAACCCTAACCCCAAACCACAGCGCCACTGGGCTGCAGGCACCAGTCTCTGACCTCCAAATCTCTGCTCATAGGAGAAAAGCAAATCCCTGATACCGAGCCACCATCAGCCACGTATTTGATTACAAAGAGCATCTTAAGTGACATGAAAGACCCACAGTCATGGCACTGGATGTCTTCCCTTCTCCACACTCTGGCCCAAACCCCCTGGCGGGTACAGCCGGGAAAGCCCAACAGGAGCAGCCCTGGGGAGGGTGGAGAAGAGAGGGATGAGTATCGGAGCATTTGCTCCCCGGCTCCTCCCTGAGAGGCCCCCATGGGGGGCTGCGTCCTCCGCAGAGGCCACAGCACCCCCCCCTGCCCGGCAGCCCCCCTACAGAGCTGCCTTTTCCCTCGGCTCAGGCTGAAGGGCAGGTGGAAAGGAGGCCCCAGGGCTGTGGTGCTAAGTCCTGCAGCATCACTTGCTCGTGAGCACTGTGGAAGCATGCAAATGGCCAGTAGGCCGTGGAAAGGTGACCAAGATCACCAGGGAATGAGGAGATGCAAAGCCAAACCACAATGAGACACCGTTTGACACCTGCCAGGAGGCTGTAATGTAAAAAGAGAAAATAACAAGTGTCGGTGAGGAAGTGTGAAACCGGAACCCTGTGCACTGCTGCTGAAAGGGTGCAGCTGCGTGGAAAACTGTGTGCAGTTCCACAAAAGCCTCAGCACAGACTCGCCTTATAACCCGGCAATTCCATTCCTGGGCATATCCTCCCAGAAAGTAAAAGCAGGGACTTGAACAGATACTTGCACACCAGTGTTCATAGCAGCACTGTTCACAACGGCCGGAAGATGGAAACCATCAACGAATGCATTGGAATGTTCCCCACGCAAAGGAAAGATTAACGTTTGAGGTGCTAGATACCCCAGTCACCCTGACTTGGTCATTACGCACTGCATACCGGCACAAAAATATCATGCGTACCCCCAAAATATGTACAACTGTTATAAATCAATTAAAAAACAAACGAATGGGCCAGGCACGGTGGCTCACACCTATAATCCCAGCACTCTGGGAGGCCGAGGCGGGAGGATTGCTTGAGGTCAGGAGTTCAAGACCAGCCTGCCGAAGAGTGAGACCCCGTCTCTACAAAAGATGGAAAAATTAGTCGGATGTCGTGGCGCATGCCTGTAGTCCCAGCTACTCGGGAGGCTGAGGCAGGAGGATCGCTTGAGCCCAGGAGTTTGACGCTGCTGTGAGCTATGAGGACACCACTGCACTTTAGCCTGGGTGACAGAGTGAAACTCTGTCTCAAAAAAAACCCACAAAAAACAAAAAATTAATGGATAAACAAAATGTGAGATATACATACAGTGGGATGTTACCCATAAAAAGGAATGAAGTTCTAAAACAGGCTACAACATCCATAAACGTTAAAAACATTACAGTAAGAGAAATAAGGCAAGCACAAAAGGAAAAATATTGTATGATTCCATTTATATGAAACATCCACAATAGGCACATTCATATAAACAAAAATTAGGTTAGAGATCCACAAGGGCTTGGGGGAGAGAGGAATGGGAAGTTACTGTTTGGCCGGTACAGGGTTTCTGATTGGGGCGATGAAAAAGTTTGCGAAATAGTGATGACGGTGGCACGATACTGTGTATGTCATTAGTGCCACTAATTGTACACTTAAAAATGGTTAAAGTGGCAAACTTTGTTATATATATTTCATCACCGTTTAAAAAAATTAATGTAATAAGCCCAAATCCCTTGAATCATACACTTTAAATGGGTGAACTGTGTGGTATATGAATTGTATCCCAATAAACCTGTTAAAACAGATACTGAGGAATCAGAGCCCCCTGGAGAGCAAATCCAGGAAAAGGTGATGACGTCGAAGGATGGGAGCGTTCAGCCTAGAGCTCGGCCGACAATCAGAAACGCTCAGGGTGGCTCTGGAAGTCACCCATCTCCAGTGGCCACAGGACAGATGGACGTGGCCAGGCCTGACAGTGCAGGCTGGAGAGTTGCAGGACCTGCTAAACTCACGCTGCCAGGCCGCCAGGATTCCCGGGCTCAGGAACTGTGGGGAAGGCGCCGGCACCCGGCACCCGACAAGGGCTTTGGGGCAGACAGAGAAATGGGCAGAGAGCTCGAGCCCCCAGTCTCCCCGAGACGCCCTGCCAATGTCGCCGGGCACTGCCCACTCTCCATGGAAGCGCTCAAGGACAAGCCAGGGTCACCTCTCAAGAGGACCAGCTCTCCTCAGAACCCACCCAGCCCCGGGGGCTCCAAGAGCAGACCCTGGAGTGGCTGGAACACAGCCCCGGCTCTTCACAGCTCCCTGTGCCCAACCTGCGCCAGGAAATTTCCATGGAAGGCGGCAGGCAACGAGCAAACCAGCAGTGCCAGACTGCCCAGAAGAACCGAACTCTTACCCACTCTGCAGCAGCCAGCCCAGGAAGCCCAACAACAGCAGACAGCCCCAGGGCTGCCCTTGACCCCCGACCACAGCGGCCCTGACCTCGCCCCGCTTCCCACTCAGGGCCGGCTGGGAAAGCCAAGGACGCACCTCGAAGACCAAAGAAGACGCCCCCCTCGGAGCTACCCCGCTACCCCTCGCCCCAGGCCACTTGTGTGCTCGAGCAGCACACCACACACTGGGTAGTTGACGAAACACAGAAATGTATTTTCTCACAGTTCTGAAGGCCGGAAGTCCAAGGTCAAGGCGCCAGCAGGGCTGGAGGCTCCGGCCCCAAGATGGCGCCCGGAACGCTGCGTCTTCACCAAGAGGACAAGAGGGGCCGAGCTTGCCCTTCGGCCTTTCACCCTTGACCTTTGCAAGGGCGTTAATGCAACCCGGGAGGGCAGAGCCTCGCGGCCTAATTGCCTCTTAAAGGTCCCAGCTCTAAAGCTGTCACAATGGCAACGACATTGCAACACGCGTTTCAGGGGGACAGCTGTCACACTGCAGCCGCCTGACGCCCCAGGGCACTTCTGAGCTTCCCCTTGTCCACTGGGAAACTTCCCCTCTCCCCTGCCTGCCTTGGAGTCTCTGCCTGACACAAGTGACGGTGGCCGACTCCCTTGCTGTGGCAAAGCCTGAATACACACCCTCTGCTCATTCTCATGTGGGTGGGCTTCGTGTATCTCCACAAACACCAGCCCCCCACATGCCACCCCTCCTGGGCCACAGCCCACCTCCCCTGTCGCTAGCCCTGCACCTACATGGAGCAGGAGGAGAATCCATCGGGCTGGCTCAGGAAGCACACTGCGCTGTCATTCAAGAAAACATTGCCCCCAGCCTCATCTCGCCAGGGACAAAACCTGGGTGGCAATTTTGGAAGTACCTGTTGGCTCTGCAAGAAGGGTCCCGACCCCCTGTGTAAACCCGGTCCCCAAGTCCTCTACCTGGTGGAAGGAGCAGGGAAATTTTACGAAGGGGCCACTCCAAATGGGGTGCAGGAATCAGATCCTCAGCTTTGCTGTTAAGGTACAGCCAGTGTGGAAAACTGTCTGACAATTTCCATCAACACAGCCCTACCCTATCCCCCAGCCATTTCACTCCTACGTATTCACCTAAGAGAAACGAACACACATCCACATAAAGACCTGTCCTCGGCGGATGTCCACAGCAGCTTTATTCGTGATAGATCAAAACCAGAGCGTGTTTAGGCAAATCGTAGCGCATTCGTACAATGAGTCGCTATTCAGCATAAAAAGGGAAGAAACTGCTGAGACCTGCAACAACAAGGGTGAACTTCAAAAATACGGTGCTGAGTTAAAGGAGCCACACCGAATGAGCACGCGCTGTGGGATTCTATTTGTATGAAATTCCAGAACTGGCAAAACTAATCTATGGGGAGGGTACAGAGTTTCAGTTTTGCAAGATGAAAAGTAGTGGACATTGGCTGCCCAACACTGTGAACGTGCTTAGTACTACCCGAGTGTACCATCAGAGATGGGGCCGGACGTGGTGGCTCACGAGTGTAATCCTAGCACTTGGGACGCCAAGGCAGGAGGATGGCATGAGGCCAGGAGTTTGAGACCAGCCTGAGCAAGAGAGAGATCTCATCTCTCTATAAAAACAGAAAAAATTAACCAGCTCTCACACCTGTGGTCCCAGCTACTCAGGAGCCTGAGGCAGGATCATATGAGCCCAAGAGTTTGAGGTTGCAGTGAGCTATGATGATGCCATTGCTTTCTATCCTGGGCCACCAAGCGAGACCCTGTCTCAAAAAAAAAAAAAAAAATGGTCAAGATGGTAAGTTTTATGTGTATTTTGCAATTAAAAGATTTTTTAAAATTAAAAACAAAACAAAGACTAATCTGTGGGGAAAGAAATCAGAACAGGGGATTGGCTGCCAAGGGGTGGGCGTAGGAAATGCTATCTTGATGGGGTGGCGGTTACAGGGCAAATGCATTTGTCACATGTCATCAACCTATGTACACTTTTGATAGGTACATTTTACCCTAAGTATAATTCCATTACAAAATAAATAAAGGAACAAGAGGCAGCACAGGAGGCTGCAGTACTTGGGAACCCCCAATGCATCCCTCCCCCACCCACCCAGGCAGGGCCGCAGCTCTGGCGCACACCCCTGCCCCGGCTCCCTGCACACGTGTCTGCTCTGTCCGCTGGTGTACACATCCCGCTTCCCCAGCACCTGACTCTCTGCAGGGCAGGGGTGTAGGGGGGTGGTCAGGATCCTGTGCTCCTGCGGGGGCAGGTGTGTGGCCACCTCCCCGCCCACACAGCTGTGCTGGTTCCCATGGCCTGAGCAGCCTGCTGTAGGGCGGGAGGGGTGCAGCGGCAGGGCACGGCCAGCTGTCAGCTCCCAAGGCCACGGCCAAGGCCACTGGTCAGCTCAGGCAAGGCAGGGGCTGCCAGGGCCTGGCCGCTGCGCCCTCTCACCTCTGCTGGGCCACCCTGAGAGGTGGCCTGTTCTCAGCTGGTGCCTCGTCTGCACCAGGGCCCTCCTCGCTCTGCCCTGACCCCTCCACCCTGGCTCCAGTCCCCTCGGGCCACAAGGGCCTTTCCTGCCACTCCCAGGCACTGGCTTTTCTGCTCCCTGTGCCTGGACGTGTCTCTGCCTGGGATGTACCTGGCTGCGCTGCAAACCCTAAATGTCCCTGTCAGAGTGAGGCCCTCCTGGCCGCTTAGCGGGTGGTGATGTAGATTTTACTTATTTTTAAAAGAGACTCTCTTCCCAACCTCTCCCACCCTGGCCCCTGTGAGCGTGCTGCAGGCAGGAATTAGTTGTTGATTTCGTTTGGGCTATTGCAGTCCCGCGGCCGGTGAGCGCAGGTTGGTGCGATGAACAATAGGTTTCCCGCAGACCAAGTCACACGACATCTGTCTCGTGTTCTGCCTTCCTACCTTGTACACTGTTGCCTCCCCTCCCTGGGATTAGAGATTCTTCTAGAATGAGCCTGTGCGAGGCCTGGTCCCCGTGCTGTCCAGAAGGGTGGGACCGTGTTGTCCTGTGGGACCCATGCTAGAAGCATCCCCATTCGCACACATAGAAACAGGATCAGAGAGGGTAAGTAACTTGCCCAAGGCTCCACAGCTGCCTGACAGAAACCTGTGCCGTGAATAACACCTTACAGTCATCAATGCAGTGGAAATTCAAAACAGCCATGAGGCACTTTCCTGTGCATCTGGGGGACTTGCCCTGCCTCTGGCAGTCTCAACGCCAAGTTTCTCCCTCCCCAGTTCCCCAATAGTTGGGTCAGGGCCGCACCACCCACCCTGTCGCCAAAACCATGAGCCAGGTCTCCCTGACGCCCACTACACCTTGAGGTCCAGCCTCCGTCAGCTATCGCCAGGGTGACGGCAGGGCCCCTGGCTGGTCCCCAGGCCCAGTCCCGCCCGGGGACGCCCCCTGCTCAGCTCTGGCTCCCGTGCACCAGCCCTGTGTGCGGGGCCGGCTCCGTGCCAATGCGCGGAGGGCAGCTCATCCCTCAGAGCCGCCTACACTCGGCCCAACCGACTGCCCCGGACGTCGACCGAGCCATCCTGAGACCAGGCAGCCTCTCCCGCCCACCCAAGCCTCCATCCCACACCCTGGGGCACAGGCCTCCCCGCCAGTCTCTCCCCTACATCGCCACGCTGCCCAGGGGCTTTCAGGCACTAATGGATCCACTAAATCCTTTGCCCAGGGCCCTCCAGACCACGAGGCTAGGCTCCGGCGCAATCCTAGGGCTTCTGCACTTGTCTGCACAGGACCCCTCCCGAGGCAGGGCCTGGGGGAGGAGGCTGTGGGTTGAAGGCCACCTTGTTTAGCCCCGGCTCAGCTGGGGCCGCAGCTGCTGCCATCCCAGGCTCCCGTGCCAGCCCTGCTCTGGCACATCCTGACCACTTGGGCACACTCCCAGGCCAGGGATTATCACCCAAGGTCTCCAGATAACGGCCTGGCGCGCAGGTATGTAATGGGGAAGCCCCAGGCAGGCGTCTTCCACCTCTGTGACCGCAGCACCATGGCCTGCCTGTGGCTCCTGTCCTGCTGGGCCCTCCTGGGCACCGCCTTTGGTGAGTGCGGAGGCAGGAAGCTCCTCTCCCTGCACACCCACCCCCAGCAGGGTCCCTGCTCCCAGCTCAGCTGTGCACAGTGGCGAGGGCCTGAGCAAGTCACCCAGTGGGGCGCTGGGAGGATTGGACCAGACCTCAGGTCCCTGCTTCCCTTCCCCACGCCCAGCCGGTCTCGGGATCCCAGGGGAGCGAGCGGACATCCCTGGGGCTTCCCCGAGGCCTCCAGAAAGTTCTCTGAACTGTCAGCGGCTCCCGCACAGGCTCAGATGTTGCATGTGGGCAGTTGTGGCTTGGCACCTTCAAACCCAAACCTTTTGGGAACTCGAGCCCTGCCCTTTTAGACTCCTGTTCACTGAGTGCTTGCCGTGGGCCAGGCGCAGAGCTTGTGCCTTACCTGCTAACTCGCCCGGCATCCGTACTCCACAGTCATGAGGCTGGCAACTGTGTGATCCCCATTTTGCTGATGGGGGAACTGAGACGCCATGTGATCTAGCAGTGGTGGGGCCTGCGGCACACCTCACGCCCTGCCTGGGGTCTTGCCCCGCGAGGTGAGGACAGGGTCCCATTGCTCTGTATCCCAGTGCCCAGGGTCGCTTCTGGAGGATTCCGGGGCTGGGGCAGGACAGTCAGGGCTGACTTCTAGGAGGAGGAGGAGGACGGTGAGAGCCAGGCAGGGTCCCAGAGGGGAAATGGGTGGGGTGGTGCCCACCCTGGAAGGGAGCTTGGGGTCTGCAGGCTGGATGTGGCAGATGTTTGAGCCCAGAGGTTGGAGGACAGAAGTTTCCAGAGAAGTTGGCACTGTCGCAGTGGGATCCCGAGCTGGCCTGGGTGACCACATGTAGAAACCAGCACTTCTACAACGCAGACCTCAGCCCCTCCTCACCCCACTCCCACCCCCACCCCCAGGCTGCGGGGTCCCCGCCATCAACCCCGTGCTCACTGGCCTGTCCAGGATCGTCAATGGGGAGGACGCCGTCCCCGGCTCCTGGCCCTGGCAGGTGTCCCTGCAGGTGAGGGGGGTCGCTGGCACGGGGGCGGGCGCACTGGGGCAGGGCCAGGCTGGGGAGCTGCCGACCCTCCCATCCCTCTCCCCAGGACAAGACCGGCTTCCACTTCTGCGGGGGCTCCCTCATCAGCGAGGACTGGGTGGTCACCGCCGCCCACTGCGGGGTCAAGTGAGGGCCGGGCAGCCTCGGGCTCTGCACCCAGGTCCGGTTGGGGGGCGGGGGGCGGCTTGTTCCCAGGCCTCACCCGTCGCTCTGTCTAGGACCACGGACCAGGTTGTGGCCGGGGAGTTTGACCAGGGCTCTGACGAGGAGAACATCCAGGTCCTGAAGATCGCCAAGGTGCGCCGGGCGGCGGCTCAGCCCAGGGGCCGGGCGGGCAGGAGGGACAGGAGCCCCCGGGTGCTGGGGCCGGCCTGGGGGCCCCCTCTGGCTCCGAGGCCGTTCCCTCCAGGAAGGAGTCTGTCTCCTGGAAGCCCCAGGTCCCCGACACCCTGCGACTCAGCAGGGCGTTCTGGTCCTCACGGCAGGTCTTCAAGAACCCCAAGTTCAACATGCTCACCGTGCGCAACGACATCACCCTGCTGAAGCTGGCCACGCCCGCCCGCTTCTCCGACACCGTGTCCCCCGTGTGCCTGCCCAGCGCCGACGACGACTTCCCCGCGGGGTCGCTGTGTGTCACCACGGGCTGGGGCAAGACCAAGTACAACGGTGGGTGCTCGGGGCCTGTCCCGGCCGGGGCCGCCCTGGCTTGGGCTGCCTGAGCGGCAGGCGTGTCCGGGTGACCCGCTGGCTGCCCTTGCTCTGGGCTGATCCCAACACAGTCCTAAGTCCGTCCGTTTCTTTACTGAAATTCCTCTGGATTAAAAACGTACCAACCGGGAATAAATACTCTGCCCAACACTGAGGTCCCTGAGCGGTATGTTTCTGGTGAGCAGCCCTGCCCTGCTCCCCTGCAGCGGGCGGCGGTGCCCGGGCAGCCCGGCTGCTCTCCAGACGGGGGTGCAGAGTCCCCACCTGCTGTGGCCTCTGAAGGGACCCTGTCCCAGACGCTGTCAGGCTGTGGGGGACGTTCCCACAACGCAGCGATGGTGAGAGGGCAGGCGGGGCCAGTTCGGGCCCCCCACATTGGTGGGTTGGGGGGGCCGAGGGCCCTGAGCCGCCCCCTCCCATCCTGCAGCCAACAAGACCCCCGACAAGCTGCAGCAGGCCGCCCTGCCCCTCATGTCCAACGCCGACTGCAAGAAGTTCTGGGGCAGCAAGATCACCGACGTGATGGTCTGCGCAGGGGCCAGCGGCGTCTCCTCCTGCATGGTGAGGCTCGCTCGGCCGCCCGGCCCGCCTCGCCGACCACACCAGTCCCTGGTCGGGCCAGGAGGCCATAGGACCCCCCACTGTGGAGGCCTGGTCTCCCCTTTTCCCTCCTCTGCTAACCTCACTGCTTGCCTGGTGTCTCAGAGCCACCATGTAGCTAATTTCCTTTGATGTCAACATCTGAGCAAACATCAGCACCTCCTGGAGTTGCACAGTGTGCAGCCTGGACAGTGGAACCTGGTGGCCCAGAGGGCTCCAGCAGCCTCTCCTCCCTCACAGAGGCCCCATGGCCAGCCCCCCACCACCCTGCTCTTTCTCCTGCTGGTCAAACCAGCTTTTGGGCTTCTATTACAGGACCCCACCGTGGGGGGAGCCCAGACTTCCAGGGCACAGACCACACAAGGAGCAGCTAGATCTTGCAGAATCCATGCAGTAGCACATGTGGAGCATCCACTGGGCGTTAGGCTCTGGGAACAATGTCCAGAGGCCTCTGTGGCCGAGCCACCTGGGCTGCCAGATCTAAGCCCCCTTCTCCCTCTCCGGCAGGGTGACTCTGGCGGCCCCCTGGTCTGCCAGAAGGACGGAGCCTGGAACCTGGTGGGCATCGTGTCCTGGGGCAGCGGCACCTGCTCCACCTCCAGCCCAGGCGTGTACGCCCGCGTCACCGAGCTCCTGCCCTGGGTTGAGGAGATCCTGGCCGCCAACTGAGCCCATGGGCACCCCCAGCCTCGCTGATCCTGCTCCCCACAAAGCCTCAATAAACCCGTGGAACACGTGTCAGTGCCTCACTCTGCTTCTGACCCTGTTCCTCCTCCAGGCTGGATTGGGTTGGGCCGGGTCGAGCAGTAGGGGGTCTCCAGGGGCCCCTCCGTAGTCCCCTTCCCCACCACTTGGGCTCCAGATCCCTAGATAGTGGACGGAGTGCACGACCGAGGGAATGGGCTGCAAGGAGGGACGGGGCATCTGGTTTGGTGGGGCCCAGGGTGACCTTGGCCTCCCACTTCAGCCTGAGCCCCAGGCTCAGTCCCCCGCTGCTCTACATCCTGGTGGGGGGGGGTGCCGGCGGCTGGAGGACGAGCCCCTCCTGGCCCGCACATCTGCAGGTCCAGGGAAGCTTCCCATGGCCACCCTGGAGGTGCCTAGCCGGTGCACAGACCCAAGGTGGGGAGGGGGACGGGCGGGCTCAGGGAGCACAGTGGGGCCCCTTAGGTGGCCCCCACCTCCCACACGCACACCATGTCCTTCTTCTCTGGTCATCCTCAGCCTGTCTCTCTGTGGCAGCAGCTGTGCTAAGCTCTGAAGCTCGGGCAGGCCCAGGTCACTCCGGCCTACCTGGCCCCACATGGCCGCAGCAGGAGCCCCGCCATGGCGGAGGCAGTGCCCCCTCCTCTCCCTCCTGGCCGCACCCTCCTCTCCCTCCTGGCAGGGGCCCTTCTGCTCGGCAACCCCCACCCCCTTGGCCGTGCCTAGGGGCACCTCGAACTCACGGGGACAAAACACTCTGGCACCTTCCCTGCCTCGGTTTCCTCCACCCATTCAGTACCCCCCAGAAGTGGGGGGTCATCCGGCTCCTTCACCCACAAATGCTCCACCGAGCCCCATGGGTCCTGCCTCCCAGATACCTCCGCGTCCAGCCCGTCCCGCCTCCTTGCTCTCAAACCCTTCACACCCTCTGGACTTGGGGGCCTCCTGGGTTTGTCTCCCCCCTACCTGGTGCCCCCATCCACTGCAGCTGCAGACTTGGGGGCCACGACAGCACCACGTTCATACGCAGAACGGTCGGGGCTGAGCAGCACCGGGGCGCCAGACACACCCGGCAGCCCCCACCTGGGCCACAGGCTGCGGGGGGCACACGTTGGCCGGAGCAAGGCCTCCTCTGCACCCCGCTCCCACTTGGAGGCCGAGTCCGTGGGGAATCCCTACAACACACTTAGGAAGTTCCACAAACTGGAACGTTAAGTTTCTTTCTAAGCAAATTTCTGGATAAGGTCTGTGACAGCAAATTTCTTGCGGCATTCATGTGTCCCCAGAGGCACCCTCAGCCCGTGCGGTCTCTCCTCAAGGGTGCGGGGGCCCAGCAGGGCTTGTCCCCGATCAGGCTGCTCCTGGCCCCGCATTTGCCCTTGCTACGGATGCCAGGGCTCCATGGATGATTCAAGGGGACACGGCCACCACCCCCGACGGGTACGCTCAGGCTGCACCTCTGGGCCTCAGACCCTGCATCTGACACCTGCTGCTCCCCAACTTCTCTCCTGCGCCCTGGCTCTGCCCAGCCCCCTGCCCGGCTCCCAAGGCCTGGTGGCTATTTATAGACCTCACCCCACCTTGCAGGAGACACCCCAGCTCCAGCTCCCAGCCCTGCTTCCCAGGGTCTTGGTTTTCTTCTTAAGGGACCCACTTTTTCTTTTCTTTTTTTTTTTTTGAGACAGAGTCTCCCTCTGTTGCCCGAGCTAGAGTGCCACGGTGTCAGCCTGGCTCACTACCACCTGGGCTCAACCAACCCTACTGCCTCAGCCTCCCGAGTAGCTGGGACTACAAGTACGCGCCACCACACCCGGCTAATTTTTTCTATGTATTTTTAGTTGGCCAGTTAATTTCTTTCTATTTTTAGTAGAGACGGGGTCTCGTTCTTGCTCAGGCTGGTTTCGAACTCCTGATCTCGAGCGATCCGCCCGCCTCGGCCTCCCAGAGTGCTAGGATTACAGGCGTGAGCCACCACGCCCGGCCGGGACCCACTTTTTCTTCACCCTCCCCAGAGACACCACCTGGGTCCTCATCCCCTTAAATCACTTCCCCTGAAGCCTGTTACTCGAGGGCAGAGAACACACCTGCCTTCCCACCCACAGCCTCTCTCATCTTGAACACACCTCAGGCAGCTGCTGTGCATTTTTAACATTTTATTTAAATGTAGACTATTCGTCAAATGATTGGAAAATCAATAATGAAAAATAGTTCTTTAGGGTTTTCTCCTGGTGCAGAGAAGGGACATGTGATAGCTGCACTTGCCCTGGTGCAGGGCCGGGGTCAGCCTGAGGGGTCATACAAGGCCCTGTGGGCTGAGGGACCCTCATGCCCCCGGCCCCAGGCCCCAGCACGGTGACCCTCCCCGGGCCGCAGTGCACGCAGGGAAGCCGCCAGCCGGCCCTCGGCACCAGCCCCTCTGAGGCCGTCCCACATCCTGCCCTTTCATAAATACGTACAAATCCCTGGACAGTCTGGGGCACCAGGCCCAAGGCAGAGCTGGGGTTGCCTGTCCCCAAGCCTGTGGCACATCGACTCTTCAGATGGGTGCCTGGGGTAGCTCGGACCATCACCGCCCCCCACACGTCCTCCCGGTCGCCCGCTCTCAGGCGGCTGCCAGCTGGCCCAGGACCCGGCGAAACTGCTGGGTGCTGTGGCCCAGCTCCTTGACCCTGTCCACCATGTCCTGGGCAGCGGAGGGCGAAGGGTACTGCAGGGCAGCGGCCTTGGTGGTGGCCACGATGCCGCGCAGGAGGTCGCACAGCAGGTTGCTGTAGTGGGTCACCTGGCTGCGCACGTCGGCTGCCTTGGCCTGCCGCGACAGCGTGTCCCCGATGAACACCAGCTTGTGGGCGCTGAGGATGACGAACTTGCTGTGCGCCACGAAGATCTTGGGTGGCTGGTTGGTGGCCACGGCGGTGAAGAAGGCGTCCACGGCGTTGGTCAGCGTGGTCAGGTTGGCCTCGCACTGCTCCAGGTAGAAGAGCAGCAGCTGCCGGTCCGAGGGCCCCAGGCCACCTGTCCTCCCTGGGCCCAGGGGCTGCGCTGGCGTCCACCTGGCCAGGTCGTGGTCTATGGGCCGTGATACCTCCTGCTCCAGGCGCTCAAACTGCTTCAGCTGGAGAGGCAGGGGAAGCAGGACAAGGTCAGGCTCTCGGCCAAGTTAAGACCACAGCCACAGGGCTGGGCAGCCTGCCCTTGGCAAACCGGCCAAGACTTTTCTAGAAAGGGCTACTCCTTGGAGCTGTGGAGAAACAGGCAATCTCTTGTCCTAGTGGTGGGTGGGGCCACATACTGTTAGTCTTCTAGAGGTTCTTTAACACACTAACTGCCATGTGAGTTGTATTTAACTCACGCTAGTGGTGAGCCTGGGGCCTCGTGAAGCATGTGTAACTCACACACGTCTCTTCGTCTTGGGAGCCTTCACTATTTTTCAAATTGGCATGTAACTAACACACCCACAGAAAATGATAAAATAAAATAACAAATTCTTCATTAAATTAGAAAGGATCGTTTTGTTTTTGAAGCTTTTATCCTATTTTCACAACAAAACACCGTGGTCCCAATGAAAAAAAATTTTTTTTCTAGTGTGCCAGTTGATGTGCTAAATTACTCTTCCAACCAACCTTAAAAGGTAGGATTCCATTTATTTAACAATTTTGAAACGTGACAACGATAGAGGTGGAGAACAGGTCAGTGGCTGCCGGGGGCAAGTCACCGCCCCAACTCTGGGGATTGGACTGTTAACTACTCAGCACTGGGCAAACCCAGTGAACAGTGCTGAGGACCTCCCTGCGCTGTCTCTGCAAATTCCTGTGAATCTATAAATATTTCTAAGTAAAAAGTTAACAAAAATTTTCACCTTAGTTCAAAAGTAACACACACATTATAAAAGCACTCAAATATACCAAGCAGAACAATGGTAGATATTACCTATAATCCATGTGCCCCTAGAAATAACCTCTGTTAAAATTCTAGTGAATTATCTTTTAGAACTATAGACTAAAGAATTTGTAGATGAAATGGTATATAACGTCTTCAAAATAACTGACAAAGAAGAAAGGGAGGCAGATGAAACAGGATTAGCTGTTGTTCGGATAACAGATGCTGACAGATTCTTGGGGGTTGCTTCACCTTTTCTAATGGGTACCTGGGGAGCTATTTTCTCCAATTTTATAAATGTATTAAATTTTCCATAGTAAAAATTTTTCTTTTTTTCCGAGATAGGGGTCTTGATCTGTTACCCGGGCAGGAGCGCAGTGGTGTGATGGTACTATCGCACATTGCCGCCTCCGACTCCTGGGCTCAAGCCATCCTTCTGCCTTGGCCCCCCGAGTAGCTACAGGCTACCAGAGTACGGGCAGAGCGCAGAGGGAGGATAAGATGCACACTAGTCTCTTAAAACAATGAGGTTCTGAATATATTATATGTACGTTTACATGTTTGTTTTCAAATTATTAGCATTTATTCCTTTCCTGAGTGTTTCCTAAGTGCCAGGCGCTTCCTGAGCACCTCCCACTCTTTACTCATTTATTTTCCTATCACTCCTGGAGGGCCCCAGCTCCCCGCTGGGAAGCACCACGCCTGGGCCCCCGGTGGAGCAGGTCCTCTCCTCTCCACGGTCCTCTGCTCACGGAGAGCGCGGTCAAGCGCAGGAAACTTGATGGGTGATACGCTTTCGTGTCTACTTGGTGCTGTTCTATATTTTAACTTTTAAAAATTATCTTTATCCATCTTGCTAGCAGACTAAAAAAAAAAAAAATTTATCTTTATAATCAGAATAAGCTCCCTTAGTATTTTTTTTTTTTAACTATTCCTTTCCTACCCTCAGGAAATGATTCAAAATACAAAAAAATTCTGTGTCTGCACATAAACACAACACTCTATTTATAAGGAAAACTAGGCACAACAAAAACGTTTAACAACAGATATTATGTGACCTTTAAAAAGAATTTCTGGCCAGGTATGGTGGCTCACAGCTGTAATCCCAGCACTTTGGGGGACCAAGGTGGGAGGACTGCTTGAGGCCAAGAGTTTGAGACCAGCCTGGGTAACAGCAAGATCTCATCTCCACAAAAAACAGAAAAATTAGCTGGGTGTGGTGGTGTGCGCCTGTAGTTCCAGCTACTCAGGAGGCTGAGACGGGAGGGATCGCTTGAGCCCAGGAGTTGGAGGTTGTAGTGAGCTATGATGATGCCACTGCATAGCTCTAGCCCAGGTGACAAAATGAGACCCTAACTCAAAAAAAGGAGAAATTTCTGAAGAATGTGTAATGCCGTGGAGACATGCCTGAGACAGAAGCAGGGTGCAATGTTCACACAGCACTGTCTGGACAGGCAGGGACAGGCCCCAGGGGAGGGAGCAGGGTGACAGGCAGCCCAGCTGCAGGATTTGCTCCCGCTGAGTCCTCCTGTCTGTCCTCTCTGCCTCCCACCTGCACCCTGGCAATAACCTACAGACGGAGATGGCCACGGGCTGGGATGGAACGAGACTGGCTGGAGGCTAGTGCCAGGCCCAGCCCTGAGTGCTGAGGGGGCTGGGAGAAGCTAGGGAACCGAGGGTCTCGCCCTACTGGGCAGGAGCTAGGGGCCCGGCGTCACTGGGCCTCACCTGCTGCAGCTCCAGCTGGCTCTTCGCCTGCCGCACGATGTTGCCCTTTTCAAGCAGCTCCTTCTGTGTTTTCTCAAACTCTTCCTTCCCCTGCAAGGGAGAAAGGGCTAGGTTGGGTCCAGTCTTTGTGCTGAGCAAACAGCACCAGCCAGCTCCTGCAGCACAGCGAGGGCCTGGCGGCCACCAGATGGCGCTACAGGTGCCAGACTGGCACAGGCCTGGCCCAGGAAGGGGCTGGGCACAGGGCGAGCTTCACACGGAGGAGGGACAGTCCATGGGGCGTGGCCACCCTCCCTGCCTAGTTCCCAGGTTCCCCATAGGATCGAACTCCAAGCCCCTTCCCTTGGCCTACAAGGCCCAGCACTTGGTCCTGGCCCACCACGCCCAGCCTGGAACATTCTGCACCAGGACATCCACCTGCGGGAACTCAGGCCTCTGCTCAAGGGTCTAAGCCTTGGGACCAGTCCCAGCCACCTTCCCACAGCCTTGTTCTACGTCCCCACGCCTCAAATCGTCTTTCTATTGTATTCTTTCAGAATGTGTCTCCCCAAGCACAGCAAAGCCATCTCTGCCCTGCTCACCAGAGCCACCCAGCCCTGAGGTGCTCAGGAGCCACCCCTGGTTGGGACTACAGAACCCAGTGACACGGCCACACTGGGCCGATGTGGGCTGACAAATGGGCTTCAGGGGCCCATCTGGCCTGGAAGGCCCAGGTGAGAGGAGGGTGCAGGGACTTACCAGTGGTCGGCCCTGTGGGGGGGGAGGGCGGGGGGAGCGGGAGCCACCCACCTGCAGGTGGACGTAGTCATAATCCTCCATCCAGCCCCCCTCGCTGTTCTCGTACTGCCCGTCCGGCGAGTCCTGGGAGGTGAACTTGGGAGGTGAGGGCAGGGGCCGTGACTGGATGCTGCTGGCCTTGTCAGTGGGGTTGGAGTGCAGGGGGCCACCCCCCTCAGGCCCTGGGGCAGGGGCCTTGGTCCGTCTGAAGAGCAGGGAGGCATTGCCGTGCAAAAAGGAGGCCAGCTGCTTGGCGTCCTCGGGCACGGCCCGCGAGCAGGCCACCAGGCGGTCCAGGTCTTCAGGGGTGGCTCCCGGGCCTCCCCGGCCACTGTCGAGGGCCTGACCGTGTGCCACCAGCGTCTGGTACACGTCCTCCATCTTCTGCAGCTGCCTGCTCAGCTTGGCATGCAGGGCACGGTCAGATGTGTGGGCGGCGTTGCCCACGGCGCTGCGGGCAAACTCCAGCAGCTCGTGGACGGCGCCCTGGACGGCGGCCACAGCGGCCCGCAGGTCCTGCACTGGTGGCTCCTGCAGCTCGGGGGTGCTGCGCCAGCCCCCTGCCCCCCCAGCGCTGCCCGCCAGGTCCAGGAGGTGGGCTACGGTGGCGCTCACGCCCTGCTGCAGCCGCGCCAGGGTCTCCACAGCGACCTCCAGCTCCAAGGGCTCCCGGCCCGGCCCTGCCACCTCCAGGGAGGACACGGACTGGCTGCTGCGTGTGCTGCCGGTGCTCGAGGCCGACAGGCGCTTGGCATCGGCCTGGGCCTCGCGCTCGGCTGGGGGTGGCACCGAGTACACGCCGTCGTCAGCCACGCTGCCGTCGGCTACCTCCGGAGGAAGCGCCCGCTCACGGGGCACATCGTACAGGGTGCCGGGGCCGGGCCGCCGCAAGCCAGGAGGCACGTCATAGAGGTCGGGAGCAGGGGGTGGGACGTCGTACACATCCTCGGCTGGCGGGGAGTCCGGAGGGGGCGCGGCAAGGACCAGCGGGTGGCGGGCAGGGTCAAAGGGCTTGGTCTTGGCGAAGGCGGGGGGCACGTCATAGGTCTCCTCACGCAGCAGCGGGCCGTCGGGCATGTCCTTGCTCACAGACGGGGGAACGTCGTACACCTGGGGTCAAGGCTGTCCGTCATCTGCCTTGCCCACCCCAGGGACTGGGGCAGGACCCAGTTGTGCAAGCATGCGCACACACACACACACACATGCGTGCACACACACACACACACAGAGCCCGGGGACACGTTCGTCACAAGTCTTATCCACGATGCTTACAGTGAAGAGCCCAGTTCTGGAGCCAGGTGACTCTGCCTCTCTGTGCCTGTCTACTCAGCTACGATAGATAGGGAGGACCTCACAGGGTCCCAAAGGTGTTAATGCACGTAACTGTGTAGGTGCAGACGCTCAGGGAAAGGTCAGCTATCCTACTGCCACCACCACCATCACTATCATCGTCACTATCATCACACACTGTCACGTGTGGACTTTCTACTCTATAGCAGGCTGAGCTGTGTGTTATGGTCAGGGTGGCCACGCCCTGGTTTCCCCACGACAGTCCTGGTTTGTGCCTGATGTTCCCAAGAAACTATCAGTGCCCCCTTCACTCTCAGCAGTATCCTGGCTTAGATGACAGACCCTGTGGCCACCCTGTTGGTACCTCTAAGAACCTGCTGAGAAGGCCCCACGACCTGCCGGCCAGCCCACAGGTGAAGCAGCTGAGGCCCAGACACACATATACCCACGGGGCAAAGCGGGGCCGGGACCAGCCTCCTCCTGCCCGCAGCTGTGCACACACCAGCCACCCACAGCCACACGCAGGGGTAAGGCCCCGCATTTGCTGCCTGCTCACCGCGTGGTGGCTGGATGGCGGCAGGCCCTTCTCCACGCTGGGGGGAACATCGTACACGTCCAGCAACGGGTCTCGGCCATTGGGACCCTTGACAGCCATGGGGGGGGTGTCATACACCTAGAGGCAGAAAGAGTGCAGCGTGACAGGTGCCAGGGCCATTCAGGTGGAACGGGGATAGCAGGAACGCTGCAGCACCCACCCCAGGATTGGCCAAGCAGAGGCACAGCCTCCCGGCTGGCCCTTACCCCAGACACCTACCTCCTGGCCATACTGGTTGGGAAGGAGCCCCCGAACGGGGGGCACATCGTAGATGTCCTGGGATCCGGGGGCCAGCAGGTGGCGTGGGATGTCGTACTCGTCCTGCTCCGGCTGGGGGGCCTCGTAGACGTAGCCCTGCCCTACTCGGGTGGGCACCACCACCTGCGGGCAGACGGCCGACTTCAGCCCTGGCCCCCAGGCCAGCCCTTGGGATCCACCACGGGCTCAGGGAGACTCCCTCACACCTGCAGGCCACCTCCCCCGTGCGGGGGCAGGGGCCACGAAGCCACTGGGTCTCATCCCCTTTGCAGCCTCTGACTTTTTTTCAGCGAAATGCAGTGCTTGGGGTACAACAAGACCCCTGAGTTTTTAGAGCTGTCTGGTTCTGGGTCAGGAAACAGAAAGTTTCTACAGCTGGATGACCCGGAAGGTTCCAGAGGAGGGTGCATGTGAGCGGACCAGGAGAGGAGGAGGCGGGGCGAGGGGCCGAGGCCCTGGCTCTGGAGGACGTTCGTTGCCAGTGGGCAAGGGCCACCCCTGACTGGGGCGCCTGGGCCCTCCAGGGTGAGAAACCACTGCCTGTCGTCACCTCCCAGCTGCGCCCTCCTCGGGAAGGCCTGCCCCGACCAAAGGACCCAGCAGCTGCCTCCCAGCTCTGGGGACAGGTGCAGGTCCCAGGCTGGGCCCAGAGGGGGTGGCCTGAAGGGGATACCGAGGAGTCAAGGCCTGGGGCCTCCAGCAGAGCAACAAGCACCCTCCCCTGTCCCCCTGCAGCCTGTCTGGGGGACATCCTGAGGACAGGAGAACCAAGCACTCACAGACCTCAGGGCCAGCTCGGGAGGGCAGGTGGGGGGCAGGGGAGTTACAACCAGAACCAAGGCCCCTACTCCCCTCTGCACCTGCACCTGCAAAGCAGCCTGCAGCAGGCAAGACCCCAACCACCTGGGGAACAAGGTCTTAGTGGGGGGATGCTGGTCCAGCCCTTCCCCTCCCCAGGTGCTCTCACTCCGGCCCAGGGCGCTGGGCTGCAGCAGCAAATCCTCGGCACACGTGGGGCAGCTGTGGGTGCGGGGCCTGCTCGGGACAGCAATGGCCCTTAGCCCGGCACAGCGAGCACGCAGGGGGGTGCCTGGCAGCCGCCTTTCCCGCAGGCGTCCGTGCGCCACCCTGGGCAGGATGAGGCCCAGCAGGTCCTCTGGCCCAGCTCAGGCCCTCACAGCTCCCTGAGGGGCTCCCTGTTCAGCTCTTTCCACAGAAAGGCCTTTGTTCCCTTATCAAAGGGGACTTCTGGGACAGGGTTGACTCTGGCCACACACCCCTGGGGGCAGTGGAGAAGCAGGCCCCTCCTCCAGGCCCAGCGCCCCAGCACCCTGCCGAGGCCCTCTGGAGGCCTCCTGGCCTGGGCTCTGACGACAGGCGCTGGCTCCCAGGAGCAGCAGCAGCTCCACCTCCCTGCAGGCAGTGCGGGCGGCCTGGCACAGCCTCCCAGGCGGCGGCAGGGCTCGGCGGTGATGCTGGGCCTGCTGGGCCTCTGGCCGGGCTGTCTGGCAGCAGAGCTGCGGGCTGGGCGGTGCTCCCTGCCCCCCGGGGCGTCTGTGTGGAGTCAGGGCTGCCTCTCTAGACGCATCTCCCTCCAGGAGCCCCAGACTGGAGTCTCCTCCAGAGCTATTTTTAGATGCTGGAACCTGCCAACAGCGGGGCAGGCGGGGGCTGGCGGGACGTGGCAGGTTGGCCAGGCCTCCAGGCAAGGCCCAAAGCCTCTCCAGGCCCCTCAGCCTCCCAGAGGCAGGCTGGGCAAGTCAGGTAAGCCCTTGAGACCAGGAGTCCGAGTGACACCCTCCACCTTGTGCCCTCCCACAGAAAGGGCCTGGGGGCGCAGGCCAGAAGGGCTCTGGCAGCCAGACCCCAGACCCAGGGCTAATGGCCGCTTGCCAGTCCTGCGGTCGAGGCGGATGGCAGGCAGCAAGCAGCCACACCGCTGAACAGCAAATGCCTTCTCGTTAGAAAACTGCAGGCCAGACACCAGCGGGGAAAACCTGTTAGGGAGACGGACTCTCCCGAGAGCTGCTGAGCCCCACTAATGATGGGCCACCCTGCTCTGCACCTGAGGCCCCATTAGCAGGACCTGGAGGCCCCTGGGGGTCGAGAGACACAGCCAGTGTCCGGGAGGAGGAGTCAGAGACACAGCCACTGACACAAGACCCACACGCTGACACACACACCCCTCACACGGTGCAGGAGAAACAGAAACACACAGCATGGCACGCTGCCAGAGGCACTCACAGCCCCAGGCGGCACAAGGCCCCAGAGGCCTGGGCTGCCTGTCCTCGCGACCCCTCCTCCCCAGCAATCGGGCCTCAAGGGAAGGGACGAATGACTCAGAAATACGCCCTAGCCTCCAGGTCAGTCCCAGGAGGTGACTAAGTCTCAGGGCAGGCCTGGCCCTGTAGGGAGAGTGGCCCCTGCCGGCCTCCCAGCTCCGCACTCTACCCTGGGCGCCCTGATCGCCTCCAGGAAGCTCGGTGGCTGGTCTCCCCCTTCTGAGAAGTGGGTGTCACCTCCCCGACCTGGGCTGTCTCTCTGCTCTGTGCAGCCCGCCCCCTCACCCGGGAATCTCATTTTCCTCCTCCGGGAAAGGGAGCTCCACGGGAGCACCATGGGGTCGGGCAGGTGACTGCTACTCCTAGGACACGGCGGAGGGAGAGACTCGCCTGAGCAGGGTCCAGCACTGCCTGAGCACACGCCTCCTCCCACTGCGGCGAGAGGAGGGTCCAGACCCAGGCGGAACGGGACTGAGTTCACGCCACAGCTGCAACCCCTGACCCAGGGACGCTCCCCCAAGAGTGACCTCACACGGGTGCCTCCCCTGCTGGGGGGTCCTACAGGCACACAAAGGAGCCTCTGCCTTCAGCTCCCGGAAGCCCACGCCCTGGCCCAAAGGGTCTCAGGACCCAGGGTGGCCCTGACCTCTCCCCCAGCCACACAGGTCACTTGCTCCCCTCAGCACCAGAGGGAACCTGCTCCAGGCCCAGGGGTCCAACCTCTCCTGGCCATCAGCCTTGTCACTCGGCTTCCTGGGTGCCAGTGGCCTCCTGCCCACATGCAGCTCTGGCAAGCCAGCCCCGCCCACCTCTGCCGGAGCCAGGAGACGGGTTCCCAGACATCTGAGGGCAGGACCTTGAACGTGGCACAGATGCACACATCCAGATGCCGTTTGTGACAAAGACACGAGCAATCCAGAGCCACCCAGTGCCAAGCCCAGCAGGGGGGTGGCCTGGCACACTCTAGAGAGGAGTTTAATAGCCCAAGAAAATGCTTTAGAGATCTAATGTTGGATTTACAACTTCAAAATGCAAAACTACATGTACAAATCTGTGAAACACAAATAGGGAATATGCTAGACAAAATATGCCAAAATTTCCCAGTGATTACCTCTTGATAGCGGAATTCCATCTCTAGAGTTTTTCATACATTATGCATTTTCTATGGCAAACAAGCATCGCTTTCATGATCACAAAACACAAGCAGACACAATCAATGCTGCCCAGGGCAGGGGCAAAGAGGCTTCGCGGGGGAGGGCAAGTGGGCCTAGGACACAGGGCAATCCTTCCTGGGCCACCAGCCCTGTCAGGGCTTGTGGCACACAGGCCCAGGCACAGGAGGGCCCAGCCCCTGAAGCAGTCTGCTAGCAGGCCCCTTGCCTGGGAGGAAAACAGAACAGCCGCCAAACTACAGGCTCAAGGCCCAGCCCGGGCCCCAGGGTCTCGCTGCTGCTCCCTGGCCACAGGCTCCTGCTGCTGCTCCCTGGCCACAGGCTCCTGCTGCCTGCCCAGCCTCCCATTTGCACCAGGACAAGCTTGGGGAGGAGAGGGCAGGGGAGAGGGTGTGCCTGAGTAGGGTGTGGGCAGTGTGGACTGCGTGGGGGTGCGTGCGAGCACGTGCATTCACACGTGTGGGGCGTGGGAGTGAGCGTGCACCTGTGTTCAGATGTGTGGGTGTGGAGGGGAGCAGTGCCCAGCCCCTAGATGGGGTTGAACACATGCCTGGCTGGGCACTGCCCCTGGCTGGGCACTGCTCCCCTTGGCAGGACCCTGCCCTCCCCTTAGAGCCAGCGTGGGAACAGCCCCACCTGGGCTGTCCCAGTCCAGCATGGCATACTTTTCTGCTCCTTGCCTGTCTCTGACCAGATGGCTGAAGAAGCAGGTAGCTGGGGACCCAGGTTCCCCTTGTGGCCAGGGGTGTGTCCCATCTGCCTCCTGACTCGCTGCCCAGCTGGCACCAGCAAGATCCCCACCTCACCCTTGGCTGGCTCTGAGTACAGAGGCTCAGTGCCACGGGCTGAGTGTCCACTTCACTTGGCCACTGCCTGATCAGACACAAGTGGCTCTGGATGGGACATGGTGAAAACACGAGGCTGGGCCCGGGCCTGGGGGGCTGACCCAGCAGAGGCCGAGCTCCTTCTCCTAAGGGCCAGCTGCTGTGCCCACCACCAGGTGGCCTCACCTACCTGCTGTGGTGTCCCTGGGACCTGGCTGACTGCCAGGGCTCTCCCTGGGAGTGTGGGACAGGTTTCTTGGGTCCTCTTGGTGAGCTGCAGGGGAGGGGCAGGGGTGGAGGAGGTGGGGAGCTAGGCATGGTGGCTCAGCCTCCAAGTCTTCCGGGCCTAGGAAACTCCACTCCCCAATCCTGGGGGGGCTTCGGACCGGGGAGAACAGGCCAACCAAAGGCAAACCGAGGTTGCTCCTGACTCAGCCCAAACAGCTGGCAGGCCAGGCCTCTGCACAGCTCAGGCTGCTGTGCTCAGAGCCTGAGGCCAGAGGTCTCGTCCCTGGAACCAGAGTCCAGTCGGCAACAGCCCACATGGGCCTTGAGTCCGGGTCTCTCCAGGGTGACCCTGCCCTAGCAATCCCATAGGCAGCATCCCCCATGGTCCAGGAGTCATGAACAGGTCACTCTGCAGGCACCTGCTGGCTCACTAACAGGCCCCAGAAGAGAAGGGCTGGCCTGTGGAACCAGGCATGTGTTCAACCCCATCTAGGGGCTGGCCAGTGGCTGCTGAAGGTCCTCCAGAAGCCCTCTGTCCCTTCTTCCTTAGGACAGAGTCCCAGTTAGTGAGACATTAAGACAGGTGGCCACGAGGAAAAGGCTCCTGTTCCCAGAATCCCTTGCAGCTAGATGGACCACAGATTCAAGTTCTGGCCGAAAGAGGTAAGTGGAAGGACCACCAGAGAGGACACATCCTCCTTTGTCCCTCCCTTCCCTACTGGCCAGACAGACGGCACCAGAGCTCTGGCAGAAACCACCCTGCCCCGAGACGCAGGACCACACTGAGGACCGCAGAACACCTAACACTTGTGCAGGTGCCTGTCTGTCCTGGCCTCTCCCCTCCAGACTTGGCTTATATGGGAAAGAAAGAAACACCTGCTGCTGCCTCCACGTTTGATCTCTCCCCTTCAAGTGTGGCCCCAGACCTCATCCTCCTCTTCCTGGGCTCCCTTGTCTCAGTCTTGACCTCTCCACACTCTGCCATGTCCTCTGCTCGTGGTTAGAACAAGTTCGCTAAGACATGGATCTGGGCAGGTTGCACCTACTCAAAACCCTCCACCATCGGGCAGAATCCAGCCCTTCAGTGGGCACTGGGCCCCTGGGATCCGCCCCAGCCTGCTGTTCCGGCCTCGCGTGCCAAGCCCTGCCTGCCCACCTGGAATGCAGGACTTTGTCCACACCTCCAGACCTTTGCAGGCTGCTTCCTCTGCGTTAACACCTGCCCACATATGTCAGCTTGTCCAAGGCCAGCTCAATGTCTGTACTCTGGGCTGCCGTAGCCCGGTCACATCTATTTTCACAAGACGAATGAAAGCTTTCCCCAAACACTCTCACCTTGATCCCAGACCAAATGCATATCCACTGCTGGGATGCCAGCAAGCCTGAGGGTGGCTGGGCCCTGCTGTGCCCAGAAACTAGGGCCTGGGCTAAACCCACGGCGGGGCTGCGGGGCGGAGCCAGGCTGGCCTTACCTTTGCCGGGGTCTTCGTCCCCTCCCAGCTGCGTGTGTCCATGGACAGGGGGACCTGGTAGATGTCATGTCCCATCCCAGCAGAAGGTGGCACCTGGTAAATGTCCTGCGCAGGACTTCCGGGTCCTGGTGGCACCTGGTAAAGGTCTGTGGCTGGGCTGGGAAACGGGTGGTGGGACGGCTGCTTCGAAAACGTGGACGTCTGCTTGGCCGGGGGTGACTGGAACTGAGGGCTGGGTCCAGGGGCTTGGTAGAGGCCTTGCTGAGCCTTGCTGGGGGTGGGCACCAGGTAGACGCTGTCAGGTTGGGGCTGGTAGGCGGTGGGGAGCATGGGCGTGTACTGGGAGGCCGGGGGCACTGCAGCGTGGGGGCCCTGCGGGTGGCCGGGCTGGGGTTGGGCCGGGGTGGTGGGCGGGCCGGGGCCAGGCCCTGCCGGCTTCTTGTCGTACATGCCCACCAGGATCTTGAGGCGGTTCCCTGGCACGATGCCTTGGCGCCCATGCAGAGAGCAAAGCCACCAGCCGTCCAGGCCCTGCGTGTCCCGCTCCAGCACGGTCATGATGTCGCCCTTGCGGAAGGAAAGCTCGTCCGGGGACTCGGCCACGTTGTCATAGAGGGCTTTAGCCAGCACGTTCTGGGGAGAGGACACAGACGGGCGTGAGGGCAAGAGGATGTGCACGGGGCTCCTGGGGGCTCATCTGGCCCTCCAGGACCTGGCAGCATCTGGCTTTGGCACTGGGAAAGGGGTTCAGTCGGGTTTGGTGAGATCATGGTGCTCTCTGTCCCCTCCCACCCCCCATCCCCAGCAGAAAGGCTCAGCCGATCCCCCCAACTGCAGTCACCAACAACACTAGCGGTGATATTCAACACACTCCTAATCCCCTCCTGAGGCCACACCACCTCAAAGAAACAACAAATGATTGTCCCATGATACGCAAAAAAATAATTTGACAAAAATGACAGCTTCTTAGGATAAAAATACTGGAAAAAAAAAGAGAAAGGACTTCCTTAAATTAATAAGGTCCATCCACCAAAAACTATAATTAATGAAGAAACTTCAAACACCTCCCCTAAGGCTGGGGAGAAAAGAGGAGGCACACTCCCTGCTCCCTGTCCTGCTGCCCTCAGCAAATCCCCCTAGAGCAGGGCTGCTGCTCCATGGGGCCCAGGATCAACGCAGCCTGAGCGGAGCCTGGAGGAGGCTGTGGGATTAGAGGCAGGAGGACCACAGTTCAGGCAGGCCCAGAGCCTCACTGGGGACACAGCCTGGGTGGGGAGGCCCCGCAGTTCTCATCCCTGCTCGTGCAGTCCTCATTCCCACTGCTGCTCCCCTTGCCCAGGTGCCAGGCTCAGCGTGAGCCCAGAGCTACAGGGTGATGGTCAGTGCCGGCAGAGCAGGCACAAGGGAGGTGCCGAGGAGAGACAAGGCCAGGGCTTCCCAGCCCCTCCTAGGGCAGCAGATGGGTGTCCGGGTTCAGCAGGGGCCCCAGGCCTCACACAGGGGGAAGCCAGGTCTGCTGGGCTGGTGACCCCTCTGGGCTCCAGCTGCCCCACCAGCCTGGCCTCAGGTCTGGGCTGCCCTGCAAAGTCCCTCCTTGGAATCTCCTGGGGTCTGAAGACACACAGCGTGGTCTAGACTGACTCAAAAATGGGACTTTGGTTCTGGTCTGAGTCCTGTCTCTGGACTCCATCTCCAAGGAATCAAATGAGATTCCAGGCGGAAGGAAGGGCCACACACACACACCCCTCACAGAAACAGGAAGTGGGAGCCTGGGCCCACCCTCCTGCCTCCACCCTCCACCCTAGCAGCTGGGGCTGGAAAGTGGCTGTGAGCTCCACCTCCCAGGCCTGCACACTGAAGGTGGGAAGAGGATCCTGGGGAGAGGCCCAGGCAGGCAGTGGGTGATCCGGGCCCCAGGAGCGGACGTTCAGATCCAGCCACTCATTTGCCCAGGGAGCCACCAGCCAGGAGCCCACTTCTCCAGAGTAGCTCACAGCCCTCAGCCTCAGAAAGGACCAGAGGCCAGAACCTTGGAGCCAAGAGGGGCAAGGCCCAAGGGACAGAGTAGCCCACACGAGCAGCTTGGGGAGGGCAGAGCCCGGCAGTGAGGTGCAGGGGCTACCTCAGTACCAAGGTGAACGCCAAGGGCAAAGGCCCTTGGAATTGCTATAGTTACCGCAGCACCATCCACACCACAATTACAACAGAATTTAAAAGGCACTGAAGGATAAATGCTGCCTCAATTAAACATCATGAGAAATTTTTAAGTGGAGAGAGGATCGGAATAGCACCGGCACGTTGAGACAATAGAGAATACTTTCTCTTCCTGTTTTTCAGAATTTTTCAATTTGTACTTAATGAGTATTTCTTGCTTTGGGGCTGAAAAAATACACATCCTGAAAAAGCAAACAGTGAACTACCTCCTAGGCTCCCAGGCAGGATGGGACAGGCAGCCTCGACCCGACCAGAGGCCAGAGCCCCACAGAGGAGCCGGCAGGGGCGGGGGCTGCCCCGCAGCCCACCCAGCTCACGGCCCCCCTCCCCAGGCTGCCAGCCCGAGACTCGAATTTCCCAAATATGGTCTGCAGCCGGCCACCGGGACTCGCATCCCATCAGGGGGCGGGACGACGGCAACCTCCCCCAATGACCCCACAGAAAAGAGCTGCCCTGCCCGGTCCCCCTAGCCCCTGCCCTGGTGACCACAGGAAGTGCCAGCAGAGTGAGTCACAGGAAAATTCCCCTCCAGGCAAGTCAGAAAGATGGGGGTGTGGACAGAGGAGACTGCCCCCAAAGGCCCCTCACCTCTTAGGAGAGCAGCCCAGTAAAGGCTGGCAGAGATGCCCCACCAACCAGGGCAGGGCACTCGGGGTCTGCTGAGGGCAAGGCTGGTGGAGAGGGGAGAGGGAGGCCTGGCCCAGGTGTGCCACAGGCTGGCCTTGGGCCTCCCAGGATGGCCAGTCCCCACCCCCTCACGGCATGAGCTCACTGAAGGCTACAACTTAGTCTGGGGCAGCTGGAGCCGGTCTGGGAAGCACTTCCTGGGCTGGGCACGTGGCACCAGGCGCCTGGCACCAGGAGCTCCCCGCCTGCGTCAGCTGGCATGGCCCCACCCAGTCCCCAAGGCAGCCCCTCCCCCACCCAGCATAGGTCCTGGGTACTGCTGGTGCCCAACAGACCACTCTAGCCGGCCAAGCACCCACCTCTCTGCCTCCCCAGCTGCTCCCCAAGAACATACTTACTACTTCTTTCTTTTCTCCCCAGTCACCAAGTAGCAGCTAAGAACCAATAGGATTGTTCTTTTGTTTAAAAAAGATTTGCCTGGCTCCATGAAGAAGGCCCCTGTCTTTGTGGGGCTCACCATGCAGTGGGGCAGAAAGTTAGCTATGATGGGGAAAAACTGGGGTGCAAAAAATAATGTGGGACAAGGCCTCTACATACAGGGCTGGAGATGGCCTCCCCAAGGAGGTGACATTTCAGACAATTCACGTCAGGGAAGAGCATGGGGGCAGAGAGGGCATTACCCGAGGAGCTAGAGCAGGAGAGGGAATGAGGGGAGACAGGTTACAACCCTGGAGTGGCAGACAGGCAGGGACTGGTAGCACTGCAGACACCACGGGATGAAGCAGCAGTAACTCAATAAATGTCATCTAAACAGCAGCTTCTCGGGGCCAGATGACCCCAGACCGGCCAAAACCCACACCACCCCAAGCATTCCCACTCTGGACATGCTCCCAGGCCCCCCAGTCACCTCTCTCGGAACCCTGTATTGCACCCCAAGCTGGAGGAGAGGCCACAATCCCCAAATCTGCTGTCCTGGCCTCCCTAACTGCTGGGCCCAGGCATATGACCCATCTAGGCCAATCAGGGGCTCCCATCCCAAGTTCTCGAGGGGTACAACTGACCTTGGAGGGGTGCACAGCCAGGCCACTGCCAGTCCAGGTGGATGCCATCGGCCATCTGTTCCAAGGCACAACAGAGGCTGTTGCCTGACTTGCCCAGAGTCTCTGGCCACCCCCCTCCTGCCTCTAGGAACCCTCCTGCTGCATCCTAGTCCTCCTTCAAGACACGCTGGGATAGCATGTCTTGAGGTGTCATCTCCCCTCACCACCCCAGCCACCAACTTGCACCTTCAGGCAGTCTCCGGGTCCCTCTGAGGGCACCCACACCCCCTTGCTCCTACCTGCCACTGCTGATCAACATGTCTTGTTACTGCCCAGTTCATGCCCCGAGTGGGAGGGAGAAGTCCATCTCCTTTAGCGCAGTGCCTCTGAGCACTGGGCCTTGCACAGGATGCCCGGCCAGCGAGCGTCGGCTGATGCTGGAGAGGCCCAGGCGAAAGGCCAGGTCCTTCCCTGGGAGCCCCTGTCCTGCCTGGTGAGCAGCCTGGCTGCACAGAAGGACCCAGAAAGACCCTTTGGGGCTCGCTCATTCCAGAGGGCGGGGGCAGAGAAGAAGGCCAGCCCAATATCAGCACTCCCCAGCCAGGCCCACGCAGAACAACATCCTGGTTGTTGCGCTTGGGAGCCGCCAGGGCTGCCCCACAGGCCAGCGTGGCTCTGAGAATGGCCCTCATTGTGTCTCTGGGGTCTGTCCGGGCGCCAGACCCACCCAGACTGGGTGGACCCTCAGAATCAGAGCAGCTGGGGCCTTAGCCACAGGCGGACACACGTCAGGGAGAACTACAGCCATTTGATGGGTGTTCAGGTCTCCTCCTCGGCTCCACCAGCTGCCTAGGGGAGCCCTAAATGTGGGTATCCCCAAACTCTGACTCTGGGGGAAGGTGCAAGCTGGTGGCTGGGGTGGTGAGGGGAGATGACACCCCACAAGGCTTCCTCTCTGAGGAGCCTTCCCTGGTTGCCTCAAGGGAAGCCCCCACGAGTTCCTTAGCAGCAGGGCCAACTGGGCCAATACGGAGGACACTGCAGGCGTCTCTGCTGACCAATGACCCCTCTGCCAGGCCTGGCTCCATGTCTGGCCTGCTTTCTTTCAAACAGCAAATGTGTTCTCTATACCCACAAGCCAGCCCACGGTGGGGCTCCTGGTCTCTGCCCAAGTCCCTGGGGTGGGGGGAGAGACATAGAAAAGGTTAACAGCAACATGCTGGTCACCAGGTTTACAATGCTGACAAGTGTGGCACGGTCACGCCCCACCAAATGCAGAGCTCTTTTGTGTACAGGCATCAGCTCATTTAACCCTCAAAACGACCCTGTGAGACACTATGGTTCCCTCCGCCTTACAGCTGGGGAAACTGAGGCTCGGAATAATTACCTTACTTGCCCAGGGACAAGATCAGCAGCAGCAGGGGCAGACCAGGGCTCTGAGACAAAGCGGAGCTGGTGGCTCCTGGGAGATGCTGAGGTTCACGGAAGCTGGGGTGGAAATTCCACAGGCCTTTCCCGCCCTCCTTGCCCCACCCCCAACACACAGCCTTACACAGCAGGGACTTGGGAAACACTGGGCTCCCTTCATACCCAGAACGTGGGCCAGGTTTATTTCTGGGATATTCTATTTGCTTGTCCCAAAGAACCCCCAGTGGCCAGTGGACGCAGGCCCAGTGAGTGTGTGCCCGACTGGCAGTCTGACCCACCAGCCCTCCTCACTCATGCCCGGGGATGCACCTGAAGGAGCCTGCC